CTGCAGCTGTTTGAATTGTGTTTAGCTATTAGCTATATTTTTATGGTAATTCCAGCATAAAACATCAAATAAATACCATTCCACAGGCGTGCCAACTTTAATCATTGTTAGGATTCGTAACAGAATGCTGCAGCAGGCTAGATTGGGAATAAGCAATTAGATATATTTTTCTCTGCATATGTTAATTATTTGCCACCCCATTTTGCTCTGGACAGGTTAAAACAAAGAGAAAAAAAAACCCAAACCATTGTATTAGAGCCTCTGAATGCATTTCAGAGACCAGTAAAAGGTGTGCAGTGCCTGGCTACAAGGCTACTTGTTTATGCCTCATGGGGGCAAGCGAGTGAGTAACTAAATGAACCATCTGATTCTTTCACATGCACATTTTTTATCTGGAATATTCTTCATGGTATCAGTTTTTCTGCATCATGCAACTATTGCAATTTCCACCAAGTATGTTGTTTTTAAGTTGCACCATCTGGTTCTGTTTTCATCTGTCTGTAACCTGTGCCTCCTGCTTACTTCTGCTTTGGTTCATCAACTGAGAGTGATCTTGAAAGTCCTGGTTTTGGCACCTGAAGCAGCATTAAGAGTGTATTTGCTGCACTGTGAAAAGGATCAGTTTAAGAATTTGACTCAATTCTTGAGAAAGCCCCAAAAGTGCTGACCCAAATTTGAAACAAAATTTAGCCTTAGTATACTTTAACCGGGATTATCTTATTATTGGATAATCTAAGGGTGTGGAAATAGGCCTCAAACTGCTCAGTTTAAATCCAGTGTACAACAGCAGTGACTTAAAATTTTCATCTGAAGCACTGTACTTTGGGTGGGCTGAGTAGCAGGGCTGTTACTGGCTGATGTCTGGTAATCCAGCAATTGTAAGAAATGGCATGCGACCGATCTGAATGGGAATCCTTTCAAGAGCGTGCAGCAGCCATGGCTTGACTGCATGAGGATTTTTGCTGATAATTACTTTTGCCTCATACCTTTTCTTACTGATTTGTCTGAAGCTACTGACACCAGGTGCAGTGCATTCTCCCATTTCTCATTCCATCGCTTTAGTCTTCTTTTAAAGTTTTCTTGGTACTTACTAGCAAATGTTCCATTTATGGCTGCCACAGTGAGGGGGAAATGTGATACCCAGTTTAACTGATAATTTTATTTCTATATACTAATTATTATCATGTTAATATCTTTTTGTGCATACAGTAATAATATTTTACTTATTTCTTTGTCACTGAAAATTATGCTGGTGATTGTAAAGCAGACAAAATAGTTTTGCCCTGTCACTAGCTATGACTAATCTCAGTGTTGTCTGCACGTTTGCTTTAAAAATGTTGGCTCATTACCAGAGACGGAGCTTTGGTTTCTGTAATAACAATATATGCTAAAAAATAATTGACTGTTAGTTGACTAATGCATGTTTGCCCTCGTGCACACATGCAATTGCAGTAGCATTTCACATTTGCTTTAAATAAAATGAAGTCTTTCTTCTTTCTGTTATGAAAAGGCAAGAGATGTGTGTGTGAAGCTGTTTAGAATCCATGTCTCAAAGCAATAAAACTGTCGTTCATCACTGGGACAGAGCTAGAGCTTTACTCAAAGGCTTAATAATGTTAACATGTTTTTCTTTCCTGAGCGTTTTACATCCTGGGAGCTCAAAGCATTTTATGAACGATAATTAATTATCGTTCAAGATGCTGCTGCCAGGTAGACTGAATGGTTAACCACCATATTAGAAGAGAAATTCGGACACAAACAGGTTGCTTATCTGAAAGGAACACAGTGGTGAAGATCTGAGGTTGGAATCCTGACCTGTGGCTTCCTCAGGGGCTCCTATTTCCCGAGTGTCCTCCTACATGTGCTCTGCTAAGTCAGAATTTCCAGGATATACTGTGTTACAGCTGTGCCCTTTCTGTCGTAGCTTGCTTTAAAGATGCATACTCTTCAGAGAAAAGAGTGGCTATAGTGGGTGGCATACTGCAACTGCTTTGAGTTTATGTGACCTAAGGACTCACCTATATAATGGCAATTGGGAGCTGTTAAAGGAGCTTATTCAGTCTTACATGTTAGGAAGGGAGGTTTAGAAAAGCTGGAAATTCATTGCAAAATTATTTAATTCCTTAACAGTGTACAAGTGAACATGCATGAAGTATGGACTATATCCTTCAGTCCCTTTTCCTTGGGAGACCATGCCTGCTCATCTAGAGTTGCCTCTTAATCTCTTCTAACACCGCAGTAACCCCATACTCAGTTCTCTATGTCCTCACCTCCAAATTTCTCCCCGTGTCAGCTGCCCCTGTCTGGTTCTTCCTCTCAAAGATGCCTTAATCCAGCTCTTCCCAATCCTCCTTCCAGTTTGAGATCGCCGTGAGGAGATCGCCTTACAACATGGTCACAGCACACATACTACTACGGAGATAAACTAAACTGTTTCTTATACCTCTTTATTGCTCTAGTTGCATCTCCACGGTTGCAGATGAATTGGGAACTAAAATCTTATGCTTTCTGTATTAATTTCCTTCCAGTTTCAACCCTGTGGTGCTTTGCTTACATTTTTTGATTCTTTTGAAATCATTGCATAAATTTGGATAGCTTTCTAAAATATTTTCTGTGGTTCAAACACATGTTGAGTGGGCTGTGAAGGAGAATGTTTGGATGTTCTGCAAGAGGTCAGGCTAGATTACTACTTGCCGCAATAATTCTTGTGTTGACTGTAAACCTGTACTCAGGGTATAAGGCTTGTTCATGATTCCCCTCCTGAACTGCTGAAATCACAATATGATAGCTGAGCTGGTCCACAGAGTAACACTGGGGCATTTACGGCTAGAGTTGCAGAGTGGAAGATAGCTAGAAATTTTTTTCTATTTTCTGAGCTCTTGAGATCTAATTTTAAAATGTGTATGTGTATATGTGTAAAAAAGTATATACACAGATATGTATTCATGCCTTATCTTTGTAATTACTAGTATTATTGGCTTTAATTCATGGTAGCATCAGAATAACGTCTCCTGCTTAATATATTTGGAAAATAAATTTGCATCAAAGCCAATTTTGCCTCAAGCAGTTAAAACAGCTCCACAGCCACCAAAAAGCTACAAGAGGCAAAATTATACTAACTGAATCTTCGTTCTAGTTTCTTTTGACTGATGTCTGATGTAACTTCCAGTGACTATTGTATTATAATTCTGTCCCTGTGTTAGCAGTTTCACAACATGTAAAGTACTCTGCTACTAAGTTCAAGACTTCACTATGGTTTCTCACTCCCAAATGCAGAAGAGTGTGTGTTCGGGTTGGATATAATCCCTATGGCATTTTCATTAGGGATGAGCCCTCCTGGATATAGCATTTCCAAGGATTTTAGCTTCTATTTCAACATCTAAGTTAATGGCTAGGTTTTTCAAAAGACTCACGAGCTTCACCGTGGAGCTAGCCATAGAGACAACAGAACTGAAACAACACTTCTTAGGACACCCAGGCTATATCCCAACTACCTATACTACAACTAATACAATGATTTCTCATAGGAAAATCCATCTTCTACAGAAGCAGCAGCTGTGTGTTCAGATACACAAGGTAGTCTTACTTTATCAATCAGTTTTGCAATCTGATTTAAAAAAAAACACTGATAAATAGCTATTCTCAAATGAAAGATACTTCCAAATCTGTGCTACTTTTTGCTCATGAAACTGTTCTTTTAAACGTTTAATGTTTTTTAATATTTTCCCACTTCTTTCATTAAAAACTAAAGCCAGAAATAGCAGAAAACGCTAAACAGGATGACTCTTTTTTTCCCTTTTTTTTTTAAGATTATGGCCAAATTTATTTTCTGTACATCCTCTAATATTTCTTTAATTTGCTTCCGTTTTGGGAGAACAGATCTCTGTGAACTAAGCTCACATAGGGGCTGTGTTTGTTGGGAGTTTGGGGTTTCATTCCTATTCCAAGTTTCTGTCAGAAATTCTCAGCTGCTTGTGCCTAGTCTTTCATAAGGGACTTCAGAATTTGTCTCCTCAATACTAACTGAACAGCTTTTTTTCTGGTGCTTTTTGTTTCCTGTCTTCTACACAGTCCTGGCCAGTACATTTTGACCTCTTTGTTTTCCTTTTCCAAATGAATACAGCCGAAGCAGGCCTGCTTTCAGCAGTATGGCTGTATTCGAGTGCCAAAACATGGAGGCACTCAGCTCATTGGTCTCTGTGGAAACCTTGGCTGAAATGAAGGCCAAGTATGATGACACCTTGGAATAAAGTTGGTCCTTCCCATATCCACCTTCTATAAATTGGTTCCTCCTACCTTCTATGAGCTGGTAGCCCTATTTCTCTCTAGAGCGGAAGAGGTAACACGTCAATTTTAGAGAAATAATCATAAAAGAACCCTGGCGCTACCAGTTGCCAAGTAATCACTATAAAATGGTGTTTGTCTCTTCAATTAATTTTAATGCCCTAATGAGAAACACTCAGCCCCTCAAAGGATTAGGCCCTGCATCGTTTCTAGCCACATCTTTGACTCTTCTCTAGTGGGTCTGGGCTGTTGCTGTTGGTCATGCTGTCATGGTGGAATGCCATGAAGAGTAATAAAAAATAAAGATAGGAAACCCTCATCTGCACTTGGGCCAAGACAGGACTCTTCAGAGTACCAAACAGCTGTTTTGGGTGAGTTTTGTAGCAGTTCTATGGCTATTCTGTCAAAGTTTATATTGATACAAATTAAGGAACAGTAGCTATAGTTATGCACTGGGTTACTCTATGTTCGGATTCCTGACAGATACGATAGATTCTGACTAACTGAAATGAACGTCACGTCATCTTAAGGATTCTTTTATTTTAAAATGGCTAGAAAACATTGAAAGTAATGAGCAAAACAATAAAGAAACCCGTCAATGTAACATTCAGCTAGAATATTCTCCACTACTTGCATTAATTACCCTATGGTCAGATAGCACCGTGATTAAATTTACATTCGTAAAAAGCCCTGTTAAGACAGTTTGACTAGCTTCATTCATTTTCTCTTTTCCTTTACACGCAGGTCAACTCAACATCATTTCAATGGCTGAAACAACAATGATGCCTGAGGAAATTGAGCTAGAGATGGCAAAGATCCAGAGACTTCGGGAAGTCTTAGTCAGAAGAGAATCAGAACTCAGGTTTATGTAAGTATCAATTCTTCTGGGAAAATGCTATGCAAAATTAATCAAAATAGGAAAGCATGCTATTTAGAAGACTTTTATCTGCTTGACATTTTAAAAAGAAGAAAGATAAAGAGCATCCCAGTCAGGTGAATGCTTGCAAAATGCCACTGGGAAACGATTTCTGAGGTTGCAAGGGAAATTACATTTTTTATTCAGCATCATATGCAGAAGATGTAAAAGGAATCTATTACTTACAAAAGGAAACTTTAGCAAAGTATCTGTCTGCCGAGCATCTTTTTATACCCGAGCTCAATCCTTTGTGGGAAGACTATTTGTCTGAAGAAAGTATCAACAGATAGGTTAGACTGTGGAAGCTATAAATCCCCTATTTCGGGCTTTATCCCTTACTTCATTAGTGATCTTAGACGTTTGTGTCACAAGAGATCACACTGTGTTCTGGACTAATAGCAGGCAAGATCTGACATTTATTAAATGGAAGCTATTAGCTTATAAGCACAAAACACATTCTGATGCATCAAATTAAATAGCATTACTACAAGAGAGATTTTCAAAACCACCAAAGAGGTCAGGCATAGGTGCCTCACTGAAGGTTAATGAATCCAGTTATCATGGTGAAGTCAACAGAGTTTGTATTCCTAAATTGCTGAATTTAGAAGGTTAAGGCTTATTAGGAGGGAATACAATATTCTGAAGTCCCACCTGTCTATGAGTACCTGAGGTCAGAAACTAACACCTTTGCTGACAGGCTAAGCAGCTCAGTAGGTCTAAACCCTGATGAACCCAGACCACTGGCTTTAATGAAGCAACAGTAGCTTACTCTGCCTGAAAAACTCTTTGCTTCCTTCTCCTTTGGAAACACAGAGACAGCACTGGTACTTTAACTCTTACTCCTGGGTGTTCGTTTCAGTGCTCTGACTTACTTGTATTGCCAAAAGTTGCAAGCCTCACCCTCAAACAGCACAGACATCTATCTATGCATATTACTACAGAAGACTTCAGCCCAGAGTATGTGCAGTCACTGCTTACAGACCTTTGGAAATAAGGTCTGGCAGCAGTTATGCTGACCTTTAATAATAATGGAGTGCTACAAATAAAGTAAACATGAATGGTTTTGTCCTACCTGCTCTTGGTAATCAAATAGCTACTTGGCTATTGGCTTGTATGTAGACTTAATCAGGAAAAAAGCCTCACTTCCCTTGACATTTTCTATATCAAACAAAGCACAGAGACAAAAATAGACTGTCCGAGTGAATGAAAGCCATGGCAGACATCTGCTTGCATCATGCTTTTGCACGCTTTTCACTTGCTCTGTTTCTTCTTGTATCCAGTCTGTTCTTTTCATTTCCCCCATGCTCACACTCATCACAGCCTGCCTCGCAAGGCACTAAGGAACGGAGCACAGAGGAGCCTGGTTATGGAAAAGGGAATATACCTAACATTCGTACTGCGCACAGTGCTCCTCCTTCATTAGCCACCATCCAAACACACGCGCTCGCCAAGAGCAGGCTGAGTGAGGAAAGCCCTTCTGAGCACCCGTATCGAAGTTTCTACTCAGGCTGGCTCCTGGTATAAGCAAAATAGGCAGATGACAAAGGCAAAAACAGCCAGAGATGGCCCCACTGCTTTGTTTGCCTGTGGAAAGCCAAGCTAGTTGCTGCTGCTGCCGCCTTCAGCAAGAGGTGCTGAGGCCTCTGCTGCAGCTACAAGCCCTCCAACTCCTTCAGCAGCCACAGGCTGGCAAGACCATTTTTCCTGGGATATTCATGCAGCTTACTAGCTCAGCTGCTCCCTTCTCTGTGGCAAAATATCCTGACTCTGCTTGCTAATCCTTGAGGCAGTAAAATTCATTTTGTTGATACTACTGAGTGAAATAGCGAGCCAGCTTCAGCCTTTGCACTGGCACTCTCCTTGCAACCCAAAAATCATTGATCATGACTTTTAAAGCCCCATGTGGGCACCCTATCTTTCTGAGTTGATTTACAACAGGCATATTCTTCATGCTGCCTCATCAAATTGGAAAGAGAAAGCAGCCTCTCTCACACAAAGGCCTCCAGAATTAGAAAGCACTTACCTTAATAGCCTTTAAAAGTCCAAAAAACTGTCTATTTGACTTTGTCTCATTTAAAAAATGTTTTTACATTTTATTCCTGACAAGTGAGAAGGACGTTGATAGTGATCCCCAAATGCTATAATTACAGCTGTTCTTTACTGCCTTTCATTCTGGATAGTTTACACTATCCATCAGAGGGGCTTGGTTGCATTTGTCTTTTAATCAAGTGCCAAATGTTAACCTCTTGCTGAGATTAAAAGCACAACTCACAGTTACCTCAGTTTCATACCTGTTTAACTAATAAACTTACTTATATAAGTCATTCGTAGACATAGCGTGGAAGATTTTATATGTGGCCATATTTATTTCTTCCAGTTGTTTTCTGAGGTAGAGGATTGCCAGTATCCCAAGACCAGAAGTCTGCATGTGGGCTATGCATTTTAGTGATTGCTTTCTCCTGCCAGAATTAGAGTTGCCTATGAATGACCTATACAACCAATTACATGAACCTGAACTGCCTCAGAAAGGTTTAAGGCTGACTCGACTTTGACAATGTAGCTGCTATCTAGCAGTACTACACCTATGCTCAGACCACTGACTTTCCAGCACTAGCTTTGATGAAAACCAGATTTCTCTTTAGTTCTGTAGCTGCTTTAGCCTTTCATTCTATGATATCAAAGGAATGAAACATGCATACAGTAATGGAGCAAAAGTGTGAGGCATGCTTGTATTCCCTTTTTCCCTCTCATGATGTTAGCACCAGAGTAGAAATTTTCTTGATTTAAACTGTGGGTTTTTTTAGTTCTTGTAAAAGCATGAACAAAATGATGAACTAATTCCATATTGCTTACACATCCAGACACAGATTACAACATCTCTAGCTACTTTTTCTTTAAATAATGGTCCACTCTTCTCACTGTCTGTCTATATTACTAATTTTTTGTATTCAAATATGGTCAGATCCTAAAGCTAGGACAGGGCATCAGTGATATTGCAGCTATGCTTAAAAAAAAAATAAAGAAAATAAGCTGGAGGGCTTGTACTCTGAGTGTGTCACCAGCCCTAATGGTGTCAGTGGCTCCCTCCCGCTACAGGCATACAGCCTGTCAGCTTTACTATATTTTTACAATGTTCACGCTCAAGAATGAGAAATCAAAACATCCAAGCCAGACCTGCTGCTGACGGAAATCAGAACAAGCTCTACCCCTGTCAGAGCTGTGCTGGTTTAATCCATGGAAAAACTGAAATCACTGCTTTCCTTAAAGAAGGTGCACAAATAAGATTGAGATGGGACAATAATAAAACTCACTATCACTGAGGTTTGAAACAGCTCTGTAACAGCATGTGTTGTCTTTAACTGTTATGTCAACATTTTGCCCAAGTAAATGCAGTAGCCAAAAAATAAGGACATTTGGCAAAGAAAACTCCTCCAGGTTAGCATAGTAGCCAGTACAAAAATAACTAGTAAGGTCTGGCTGCTCAGCAGGCCTGGACTTGGTTTGCGTTTTCTCACTCCTCTTGTGTGTGAACCAGCAAAAAAGTTTCCTGTAAAATCCTTCAGGCAGTTTCTCAGTTGTGATCTGTATAGCATGTATTTCTCTCAAATTTTCTCAGCTCTTTTTCTCTTCAAGCAAACTTGAACTGCAGTGAAGGAATCTCTAGCAAGACATACAGACAGCGTTGCTTGCATTCAAAGTTAAGGTCCCACGGCCTTATTTTAGTTGGTATAATGCTATGAGGGCCAGCTCCCTTCCCCCACTGAACAAAAAACCACTAATGACTAATGAAGTCAGTAGGCCAGAAAAGGGATAAAATGAAATACATTGTTCCTTCGTCACTACACAAATGTTACATTACAGTATTCACAGTTGGTAACACTTTGGTATCTAAATAAAATCTTCACTAACGGTCCATCATCACTAGAAGCTTTAGAAGAGTCACCCCGAAGGGGTGAAAGAAAGAGTGGGATGGTGAAGAAATAAAAGCCAGATACTTAGTCATCATTATTATTTGAGAGCAAGTCCTAATGCATCTGAGGAAGAGAAGCAGGCAATGAGACTTAGCTCAGAAATAAAAGGATTTAATAGTTACTGAGTAGTCTTCAAAACCCATACAGCAGTGTATATGGGTGTGAATCCATGCGGGCTCTTTTGTGTCCAAGCCGTTCGCTGGTGTCCATCAAACATAACTATTTGTTAACAGAGCCAGATTTTCAGTTTTCAAAATTAAAGCGGGGAAAATTTTCAATTATATTTGAACAGATTTCACCTACCTTTTTGTGATCAAGTATTGAGTTACCAAAATATTCAAACTTGTTGTTTTAGATTTTGAATTTTCCCCCTCCTTTGCTTTAGCGTTCACCTCTTTGCCACAGTCACTTTGTAAATAAGCAAGTTGTTTCGTGCTGTACTGCATATATAAAATTTACTTACGGTCTTCGCTCTGGGCCACCAACAGGAAAACTCGTCCCCTCAGGAAGAAGGTTTCCACCTTTAGAAACAGAGTCAGGCACCAGGTCAGCAGCAGTCACTGGCACGAGGCTGGAATCAGTCACCCCATCAGAGACCTCACCCGCCTGCAGGTTCATGATGCTGCTCAAATCAGGGAAAGGGCAGTAACAATTCCTTTAATAGGGAACACAGCTTATTATTAAAGCTCGGGGGGGGGAGCGGGGTCCTTCCAGAGGTGCCCCCCCACGACAGCGAGCGGGGGAGCGCGAGAGGCACTCCGCGACTGCACAAAATGGCGGCCGGGCCTG